TCAAAATGACAACCGATGATGTAACTACCACAGGGCAGCAGACAGGTGGTTTGGTTATTTGAATCCCACCACTGACCATAACCAGTTGTGACTGAGTCTACCCCGACTCATGGCGGCCGAGGTGTGTCGGAGTCACACTGCACTGCACAGAATTTTCGGTGGCTGATTTATCAGAAGCAGATGGCCAGGCCTTTCTTGAGACTCTCATGGGGGCACTGGGACCCCTCAAACTCTCAGTTGCCAGCCTAGCGCACTTACTCTTAGCACCATCCAGGGGCTGCAAAGAGCTCATTCCCCTGCAATACAAAGTGGTCCAGGGCAAGCGTGAGGAATAGACCCGAGAGGAACCAGGCAGGACCCAGTTAGCACTTGCACCACCTCTCTATGCTAAGTGGCAGTGGTGCTTTCCCACAGGAAGGCCCCCACAGGCATGAAGACGGGGCTCCCTCCTGTGCCGTTGCTCAAAGCCAGGAGGCTCAGCCTGCTCCTCCCCAACTGGACAACGTGCCTCAGGCCCAGTACTTATTTCAGCCTGTCCAGACTTGTATCTTTAAAGGCCCGTTGGGCGGATAGTCTGGGTGTTTTGCTCTCCTTTACCCACTGGCCTTTGTGCAGAGCACACTTTATAATAACATCAGTGGGCGATGAAGTGAAAGGTCCACTTGGGAAACGAGCAGGGGCGGTGGGGGGGTCTGGGATAGGGCACTAGATGATCAGTTGGGCATTAGGACATCTCTGGATGGATTGCCAGCTGAGTGGAAACGAGTTTCCATTCCCCAAAGCTCTTCTAAGGGAGACGTGTCCTCTATCAAAGCTCTTCTAAGGGAGACGTGTCCTCTATCTGGTTGGACTGTTAAAATCTGTTTAGACACTGTGTCCATCTTCCCAAGCCAGCGGCTGCTCTTTGCCTGTTTGGAACTAGGAAACGAATCCACGCAGCACAGGGGATCTATTAGCGTACACATGGAAATAAAAGGATGTGTGAGACCCGAGGCATGTCTTGCTCCAGCAACCCACCGAGGGCCCAGCTTTCTTCATCGCTGCCTTCTCGGTCGCAGGAGCTTGAACCGCAGCGTCATCAGGAGAGGAAGAACGCAGACCCCAAGGAACACCAACCTTCATAGGCCAAGGTTGGAGTTACTTTGGAAATCTCACTCACAACCACCAAGCCAATTCTGACTCATAGCGACCCTACAGGACAGAGTAGAACTGCCCCTGGGTCTCAGAGACCGTAACTCTTTATGGCATTAGAAAGCCTCATCTCTCTCCCAAGAAAAAGCTGGTAGTTTTGAACTGATGACCTTGAGGTTAAGGGCCCAACATGTAACCCACTGTGTCATTAGGGCTAACAGTTTCCTTTGGAAGCTAATGATACCTAAGGCGCTTGGCAAAGGAGCCCTGATGGTGTAGTGGTTAAGCACTGGCTGTCCTGCTGGAGAAAGAGGAGAAAGCCTGCTTCCATAAACATGCCCGCCCTGGACCCTCAAAGGCAGCTCTACTCCCTTTCTAGGGTCGCTGTCAGTCAGGGTCGAACATGGGATGGCAGCAGGTTCTGAGTCAGGATCAACTCGATGACAAGGAGCTTGAGGCTTGTGTTTTAAGGTTCTTGGAATGGGTGTGCATGTGTTGGGGTATCGGGGGTCAGGCCTAAGCTACTTTGCAATTATTGGTCCTTCCCACCACCCTGCTTTCTCAGGCACTAACTTTAGCCAGCTGAGCATTAAGTTTTCCCAACACTGACACGCTTCCGATTATTGCAACTAAACAAATCCCATCGAAAAGACTCTCATAGCAAAGGTGGGAGCTACTCTTTATACAATGTAGTCGGTCGATTTGGTGACAAGTTGAAATTCAACATGAAATGAAAAGCGATACGGATGTATAATACATAATAAACATTTTAACTCATTTATCCCCAACATTTTCACTCAGGGTCAAGACCTTTTCCCCCTCTGATTCCCAGTTTGTTTGTTTGTTTTGGTTTTAATGTAAAGTGAAAATTGAACACTTGTGAAACATCTGAGAAAAAAATCCTTCTTTTGGTCAACTTTCTTGGTGTGTGTGTGTGTGTGTGTGTGTGTGAGAGAGAGAGATACATTTGGGTGAAAGCTGATGGAGCAGACTGGTTTTCCATTCTGTTAACCGCGCACATTTTGGCGCGTAGCACTGGAAACCCTCGCAGATGTGAACGGTGTGCATTGGAAAGTGGATTGTGGATTCAGTTTGTTAAACGTCATCACCTGTCACTTGATCTCCCATATGATCCATGCACATTGTAGTTTGTAATATTTTCTGCTTTCCTTGAAATTAGGGCTTTTCATGTTTTACTTGTTTGGGTTTTTTTGCTTTGTTTTGCTTTTTAAATGTGGTGCTGTATGTGACATCCAGAATAGGCAAATGTCTACACAGTAACTGGATTAGTGGTTCCTGCGGGGCATGGCAGGGGCAATTGGGGGGAATGGGAAGCTAATCACGAGGAATACAAGAGGAAAATGGGGGGGGGGAAATCCTTTTAAATCCTCATTACTTCCTTGATCTTTGAGAATCAGAGGGTTAATGCTCTTAGAGCATTTAACACAGCAGAACAATCAGCCATGGGGTAAACACTCCATGGTACAAGATGCTTCTCTGTTCTTATTTGTCCCTCGTGGATTTAATCTTGTAGGTTTAACTACATGCTAGGACCACAATAAGGACAACTGGCGTAACAAAATTCGGGGACAATGATAAATCCATTTGGTAGTCATAAAGCTCAGGTGGTGGGCACAGCTGTGCTTAGGGGACTAGAGGGTAGACCCACAGCAACGCAGTTTGTGCCCTGTGGGCTTCAATAAGGATGCTTCACAGAGAATGGCGCATATCAAATGCTCAAGCAAATCAATTCAGTAAAGAGTGCAACGATTACATTGTTTCCTTTTGACTTCAAGCAGAACACACGCAGCTAAGCTTGATTCTCTCTCATGAGACTTAACTCAAGGCCACGAGATGTATTTATTCAAAAATCCTCAAATCCTGAGTCTGTCGTCCCGTTCTCATCCCACACCCTCCCGAAAACCTGTCCAGGTAGAAATCTGGGCAGATTCGCAAAATACTATAGGAAGTATTTCAACTAGCTCCGATACTAGTTCAACAGACAAGGCCTCCCACTTCTCTGTCTGGGATAGAATCACCCTGTTTACCTTCTGCCCAATATTCTTAGCTCAAACAATTCCACATTTCAGATCTGTTCTTTATAGCAAATGATTTTCGGATAACAAGTTCTGTATGATTTAGGATACTTGCAAAAAAAATAGAAAATACTAACTCAAAACCAGCTTAATTAATACAGGGAACATAATGGCTTATATTAAAAATCCAGGGGCAGGGGAGGTTTCAGCCAGGCTGGAGATGCAGCATATGGTTGGACAGCCTGCACACCGCTCCAAAGTGCCTTCTTCATGGGAAGGGACTTGTGGGAACTAAACCCCAGCAGGCCTCTGCTCCCACGGTTAGCAGCGTAACCCGTAACCGTGGCAACTCTACCAGGTCTCCTTTTTTGCACTAAAAGAAGGTTAAATAAGAACCAGATGCACAGTTCAGACTTACCTACAAATGGGACTGGTACACACACTCTCTAGGCATGGACTCTGTTTGGAACCTGAGCCTACCTATGTAAGCAAATAGCAGTTTGTCCTTATGCACAGCTTAATCAGTTTAGCTTTGCCTAGCAGGTCTCACAAGCCAGGTGTAACACTAATTCCTAATGGGGTTGGGGGGTTGGGGAGCGGATGGGAAGTGGCTGGTCCTCCATCACCCATCCCATTGCATGTCTCCACATCTCTAAACTCCTGGTCTACATGGGTAAGCACAAGCCTAGTGAATCTCATACCACCACCACCACCACCACCACCAGATGTTTAAAAAAATATGAAACTTTAGGCATGGAAAGCCAACGAAATGACCTGCTATCGCAGCACAAAAGCGAGTTTGTTCTCCCACGGGCAACAGCAGAACATGGCATCCAAATGCAAAAACAATTTTCAAGTACATGCACGCATACTTTAAAGATACTTTATTAAGAGCAATGATTTTTCCATTAACTTATAAATTCTTCCTAGAGTCACAAAGGAAATAAATAATAAAAATGTGTATCTTCCAGAGGCTTTTTAACAACATAGCTTTATAAATCTAAAAAGTTCCCATGGTTGTCAACGGAAAATATTATTGTATTTAGATAGATCCAGTCATTAAATAATATCATGAATGCCCACAGATTAAGATACCAGCAAGCTCCATATTGGTAAGTAAAACCAGAGTTTGAAAAAAAAAAAAACCAACCCCAAAACCCCTAAACTTTAATTTCACCTTTTCTTTTTTTTTTAAATCATTTTATTAGGGGCTCATACGACTCTTATCACAATCCATACGTACATCAATTGTGTCAAGCACATTTGTACATATGTTGCCATCATCATTCTCAAAACACCTGCTTTCTACTTGAGCCCTTGGTATCAGCTCATTTTTTCCCCTCCCTCCCCTAATTTCATCTTTTCAGTTTTAACCATCTCATCAGTTATGGGAGTACAGAATTTCCTTGTTGGTCTCAGATTTTAAGAATATGGGTTTAAAGTAAATCATCCTCTTCTCATATATTGGCTAACATTTGGGGGAGCAGGCTGCTGAAAGAACGAGTAGAGAGGGGGATGTAGCTTTGGCTACCCTTTTGTTGACAGTAGAGGAGTGCAGAATCTGGGGTCTCTGGCTACAGTTATAACAAGGCCTTGGAACTGACCCAGCCTTACCACGTTTTAACCAACTCTGTTCAGTATCATGATGGCCAGGTGCCTGTCACTTGCAAGACTGTAAGCACTACCTGGCAGAGTTTCCTCAAATTGCCAAAGTGCCCCTTGCCCCCTTTCTTCTCATTATTTTAAACATCTTGGTCAGCTCTAGTCTAAATCGGGAGACAGATCTGAAGAGTTACCTTTTTATAATGCCCCCGCCACCACTAACAACTCAAACCACCCCCAACCCCCAACCCCCTTGAGCTGCATTTACCTCGACAGTGGAGAACTGAGGCGATTTGCTGGCAAAATGAAAAAAATACAGACGTCATTACCTCTCAACAAAGAATTAGGATTGCCTACGTTATTGCCTAACTTGTTATACATTTCCCATTATCCTTAGTACAGGATCTCAGGTCAGTATTGAGAGGAGACTAAGGGACACAAACCAACTACTTAGGATTCGTAATTCTCGGACCAGCCTTACAATTTTAAAGTAATACTCAGTCAGATTTGGCAACCCTAATCTCTCTCTCTCTCTCTCTCTCTCTTAAAGCTAAATTGCTTGCTAATTAATAAACTTAAAACTCACTGTTTGGATTACACCGGTAGGCAATGTTTGGCCTAATTGTCTAACGCTGATGGTCAGACTGTGGGAAGGTCACCGGAGTGATTTTGTTTCTGTTTCTAATACAGGATTGGACTCAACTGAAGAAGACCAGTGAATGATGCCCTCAGTTGTGCAGCACAGACATGACTCAGATGCACATCTGTCTGAGAACAAACCAAGGCCAAATATTTACATGGAATGTTGACCCTGATTTATAGTTATGACACCTTTACATATCATTGATATATCTCAGGAATAGCCCCACTTGGTAATTTTAAAAATATGCCTTTCAAATAGTTCATAAATATATAAAATTTCACTAAATCCTATTTTTCTTTAAGTAAGCATGACATCTATAACTCTCTTTACAAATCAACCAAAAATAATACCTCTTCCCCCTCTCTTACATTCACAAGCGCACTGATCTTCGATTGGCTGTGTCTTAGCATGCAAGCACTGCAGGGCATGTTCCCCTACACGTCTTGTGGATGTGTCTAGTATTCCGAGAACTCTAGTTATTTCACTGCTGGAGACCAGCAGTATCATGGAGAATGAGAGCCCCCACTGAAAATATTTACAATAGAATCTTCTTTCTCAGACTTCTTTACAAATGGTGAGGTGGGGATGGTACTTGGGCCAGGGTTAAGAATTACTTTATTATTTATTTATTTAGGAATCACTTTATAGATAAATAAGTTAAGATTACAAGAAAAGTTTTCAAAATCACACCTTAATGGTATGCCTGGTGCCCAATAGCTATTTTTTAAATGGCTGTGTTTTCGTTAACTGTACATCAGTGTTGTGTCTAGTGTCTACTCTTAGGATATGAATCACATTTTTTTATATTTACTGGGAAAAGTGACTTGTGAGGATTTACAGATAAAAATTACCTTTGTGATCATTACCTAACCCTAAGACACCACCTTGCTTAATGTGATTGATACCACAGAGAGAGGTTTTAAAAGTCACACACTTAAGAGCTTTTTAGTGTCTATCTTCCCATATTAAAGATGCACTGAGCTGCCAAAACATACTCATAAGGACTTCTTAGACTATATATAACATGAAGGCTACTTAAAATCCCGGCAACGTTTCAGTAGTTTAAGAATGACTTTTCAATGCACACATTGTGGCCATGTTGAGCATCCGTAAGCAAAGGCTGACACTTTCAGCAAGGGGACCTTTGTTTACTGCCAGACCAGTTATATCTGTGATGGCTGCCTGAGAACACTGAGACACTGTCCTGTCTGGTGCTAGCAATACCCTCAACTGCTAACACGGAAACTGGCTGGCGGTGACACCCCCCACCCCTCACCCTGAGACAACTGAAGCACCAAACTCCTCTCTCTGCTGCCTAGCGCTTTCTCTTTAGGGCACTCAGCTCGGAGCCGGAGCTGCACTAGAGAGAAGCAGACGGCTCCCAGCTTTGCTTAACAGACAGCACTGTGTGTGTCTTATTACTCACACGTTGTGTTTGAAATAAGGCTGTAAAAGGATACAACCATGTTCACAATATTGTACATTTATGACAGTGATGTAGATTTAAAAACCCTGCCACCCAAATGGTAACTGAATCCATACTAATCATGCAGTCTATAAAAAAGCGGGCTGGGAGCTTCTTCCTGAGTCACGAATGCAGCCAGCTCACTGGAACCCAGTGGGCATCAGTTTCCAATCTGTCAAACGTCGTCTTCAGCTCATGGAAGGCCACGGTGAGATCATCGTTTACGATGGTCTTGTCAAAAAGGTGGCCATACTGGTTTTCCATGATCTGTGCAGACTGGATCATTTCTTGAAAGTCTTCTTCCTAAAAGGGAAGTTATATTTTAAAAATCGGTTAACCAGGCAATTACATCACTTCCTATTAATGCAAACATTCGACCACTGACTCACCCAGGGCTTGTCTTCACTCCATCCAGAATTGAAAAGGATCCTCCTTGACCATGAGCTCCTCAGGCGACTAGAGTCTAACTGAGCCGCTCTGACAAAGGCCGCGTCTCCCACCTTCCCTGAATGTCTGGATAATTGGCCACTAGGTTTAGCACAACTGGGATATTGGTACATGGAAGTCGTTAGGGGACGGGGAAGAATGGGGAAGGGCAGTTTCCTCGATATTCAAACTGGTTGTCTTCCTTGCGCTTCCTCATCTCAAGGAACTTAAAGCACAAACAACGTTGTCAGAGCTGCGTGCGTTATGAAAAGGTAGTTACTGGGCCGGCCCGTTTCTCATTAGAGGGGAATCAGGAGCCACTCATGTTCACATTGTTGAAACCCAAAAGTATTTTAGTTGGCTAGATAGCTTGACTATATAATTACATCTAAGTGTGCCAAACCCTAAGAATACGTTACCATTTATTATCTTGAGAAACCTTTAAACTTATAAATAGTACACAATAAAACTCCTTATATTGCAACATACTGAAGTGATTTCAGAGCCCCATTTCGATGTCACACAGGGCTCCACAGCACAGCTTTACACTTCAGTCCCAATCAAGAGTACGCTCACTAACGTCCTGGCGACACGCAGCCAGCCGGGATGTGCATTTGAGAACAGTGACACTTAGCAGATCTGCAGACGCTAACTCCCTGCCATCGGACGCACAGCAGCCCCGTGACACACCGCAGGGCTGACTGCGTTGGTGGGTTTTCCCAGACTCTTTTCAAGAATAAAAGGCCTCGTATCTTTTTCTTGGAGCAACTAGTGGGTTCGAACTGGTGACCTAAAAGTTAACAGCCCAACACGGAGTCAGAAATCCAATCTGTATTTGGTTAGCACAATTAATAACCTGCAAGGTAATGTAAACTAAGGCTAAAGATGAGCTAATTAAGAGAAAAAACAAAAGTAAAGCTTTTCACATGTGACTGCTTTGCTTTTAATTTTTGATGCAAAGGAAGAAAACACGATTCAGAGCCAAACACCAAAACAATGAAAGATCTTGCCAGAAGCCATTACAGTCACCAGCATACCCCAGGCTCCATTTCCAGGAAATACAAATATTATTGAAAAATAATACGAGGAGCCTACTTTCCATATGTGCAGAAAGGAATTTTTCCTTGTGCTGTGCTAACTGATTCATATGCAAGGAGACCAAAAAAGAAAATCATTAAAATGTTCATTTTAAGCCTGCTGCTTTTCCTGAGCAACAGTAATCGACTTGGGCTTTTTGCTTACCCCCCAACTTTAATAAGGCCAGTCTGAAAAATAATCAGTAGGCATTTTACATCAACGTCAGTCCACCAAAATCCAACCTGTATGCCTGACGACATATCAACTGTCAGCTTCGTGTGACGCTCCGTCCACAGAAGCACAACGCCAATTACAGAGCGATCACTCAAAACGGATGCAGCACCTACATGCAAGTCTACCTCTCCTGGATCTGTGGATCACAACATCAAGTGCTACAGTCTTCCCACAGATGCTGCCACTACACAACTGCTTCACACACACTCCGCTGGTCACCAGTTCACTCACTGTGAAGGGTTTGGCCGCTCCTTGGTCGTCTCTGCTTGAAATCATCTTGGCGTTTTTTCTTGTCTCTCTCAGACGTTCTATTGACGGAGGCTTTATAAATATCACAAAAGGCTTAAATTCTAGTGTTCTTAAATGCTTCACTGTCTGCAAGAAAAAGTGGTGGGTTTGTTTTGGGTTTTTTGCTTTGTATTTATCTTAGAACGCTTTAAGTGAGTTTTAGAACAAAACGGAATTCTTTTTCTAAAGAGAAAATTCATTCCAATCTTCATCTAACGCAGGTCAGTGGGTTTTCTGTGTGCTATTTGCGCAGTGCGTTGCTGACAATTAAATGTAACAGTTACCTCTGAAAAGATGTCGAGAGCACGTAGTTGGTATTTATAAGTGTTCTGAAGTGTGCTCTCATCGAAACTGAACACAATGGCTAACCATACTAGAAAATTGGTTTCTCAGATCAAATGCTTAAAAAGATGCTGTGAACTAACTAACTTCTATTTCTGTAAGTATTACGTGATCCCATTCGAATGAGCTCAAGCACTGTTCCTTATCCTGCCCCTTCGGAGGCCCCTAAAGGTGCAGGCTCCCACCTCCCCATGGAGGTGACCAAGGGTTCCGCATCCAATCCCTCATGTTCTATGGGCTCGGCTTCTGGATACTAAACTCAACCACCAAAGGGGACTGGCATACAAGGCGCTGAGAGGGGACTTAGGTAGACAGGCTGGAGGGGTGGAGGAGTGTGACGTGTTGATGGGGAAGGAGGGGGATGTTAAGCATTGGAGGGAGTTCTGGAGCGACAAGACCCAGTGTCCCGCAGAGAAGTTCCTCACAAGCACAACAATTCCATTCATGGCTACTGCCTAAGGCAGAAGTCAGCCTCCCCACTGAGCCTTGGGACCCTGGGCCTCCATTGATGCCTTCATTGAAGAGCTTCTCAGGGCCATGTTGGCCTTGGCAGGGAGTATAGAAGGCACCTCCCAGGGTGTGGCCATGTTGGAGGGTGAGTGTGGGTTTCTGAGTGATGAGAGAAAGGCTGAGGGTGGGTATCGGCTGGAGGACATGCGGTAGGAGAGGAAGAGACTGGTGTCTCATTCTAGCGTGTTCCTAAGAGTTCCCAGAGTGAAGGCAAATGTGGACCCTTGGCTACAGGAGGGATCTGTTTCATTACAAGGGCTGTGAAATGCCACTCGGCTTTTGTTGGCTGGGGACACCTGGAGGAGCCAACATTAAAGCAAGACACCAGAGAACAACACAATGTCCACTACTAAAAGTTACACGCACTTATAGTCTTATAGAACACACAAAATACATTAGATATATAAAATGGTGTACGGGTTTAAAAAATAAATACAAAACATCTAGATGAAATATGCTATAGCCATTGCATTTAGCAAAAACTAAATACAGACAAGAGATCTTGGGCCCTTGGGCCCCAATTTTTTAACACTAAGGGATATTTCATCACAAATGTTTTTTCTAATCACATTTACCAGTAAATGCTCTTGCGATCTTACAACAGAGGATAGATAGAGGCAATAATGGACGCTAAGAATGAGCAGACTCCAAATTGACCTCCAATGGAAATGCCCGCATGAAGTGTGATCACAGGGATGCCCCCGGGTGTTGAGTAGATCACTGATTACAGAGATACCCCGGGTGTTGAGTAGTTCATTGACTACAGGGGTGCCCCGGGTGTTAGTAGATCACTGATTACAGAGATACCCCGGGTGTTGAGTAGTTCACTGACTACAGGGGTGCCCCGGGTGTTGAGTAGTTCATTGACTACAGGGGTGCCCCGGGTGTTGAGTAGTTCATTGACTACAGGGGTGCCCCGGG